TGTCTGTTCCCTACTGAGAGCCGACAGGTCGACCTGGCACCTAGGAACAAATGTTTTGGATTAGCAAGTGGCTCTTTTTCCCTTTCCTTTTCTTCTCTTTCTTTCTCTTTTCTTTCTTTCTTTCTTTCTTTCTTTCTTTCTTTCTTTCTTTCTTTTCTTTCTTTCTTGTCACATCAAACAGTGAAAGGGCAGGCTGCTCAGAGCTATGTGAAAAATAAATCAACAGAAATACTATTTGGGCCACTGGAGGAATACGTCTTTCATGTCAACACACTTTCTTCACAAAATTCAGACCCTGATTATTTTTAGTGTCTAATTTCTTATTTCCTGTAAGATACAAAAAAAAAAACATACTTATATGATTCTATCACTACCCATTGTGACCATATTCATAAATCGGTAGGACTTTCAGTCCCTAGACAGACTAGTTTAGTGGGGCTTTGCCTATGGAAAGATTAATACGAGCTGTCTTAGAAGAAGCAAACCACCAAGAATCTGAATTCTTGTGCAGGTTTTAAAACAATGGTTATTCTTCCTTCATTCATAAATGTTATTAAGCAATGAATAAAATATGTACTATGATGATGCCATAAGTTTTTCATTTTTAAAACCATGCCAGTTTATTCATAGAACACCATGCATAAATCTAAATAAAAACAAATTCTCCAAAAATATTATAGCTCAAGGGTTATGTAACAGAGTTGTTCTAATACAGGTTTCATAACATGGCAGCCCATGCTTTATTTGTTTGTTTATTTATTTATTCATTCAGAGAGCAAGGGAGGGGCAGGGAGAAGGGGAGAGAGAGAATCCCAAGCAGGCCCTGCACTGCCAGCGTGGAGCCCAACATGGGGCTCGAACCCACAAATGGTGAGATCAGTACCTGAGCAGAAACCAAGAGTTGGACACTTAACTGACTGAGCCACCCAGGCACCCCCATGGCAGCCCATGCATGAGAACCTACTTACTCAGAGCTAAACACTATTTTCATAAAAATGTCAACTGATTTGGAAGAGAAAGATACTGAGGTGCTCACAAAGCCAATCAACTGAGAAAGAGGGGGCAGATATGAACAGAAGGAATTTATAACAGGGAATAGCCTATTATAAGAATAAATGTGGTAACATCATAAACAGGGGAGTCAGCCATCAGGGACAGATTAAATGTTTGCTCCTTCTTCTGTTTTTTTTTTTTTTTTTTTTTTTTTTTTTTTTTTTTTTGGTTGTT